CTTTCCCCGCCGAGGAGAGTCACTCAGTCACCCACTCTCCCTCGGCCCCAATATAGGACCAACCCTCTACCCCCCTTTCCCCAGGAGCACACAGTTCCCACCTAAAGCATGCCCCCCCGCCCCTTGTCCGTTTCTGCCTCCGCAGGGACTGATGTTGACTCACGCACCAGCCCCTGCCCCAGAATAGGGCAAGCCCCTACTCCGCCCCTACCCTCTTTGAGACATTCACCCCCCACCTTGTGATGCCCCTGCAAGATAGAGCTCCCCCCACCCCCTTCCTACCGTTCACCCTCTGGGAACGATCCAATCCAGCCGACTACAGTTATTGAAGACACACAAACCCCAACCCCCCACCCGCGCAAAAATAAATTCATTAGTGTGCAAAAGGGGGAATCGAAAATTAATAGTGGAGAAAAAAGAAAAAAGTTCAAAAAACAAAGAACTTAGGAAATAAGATTCCTAAAATATGAATGGAAGAATCGGAAATTTCTGAAACTTACGATGTAGAAAAGGTAGATAAGATTTTTTGGATTTTGCTGATGACGATGAACAACACCCTGAAGATGATGATGATGAGTATGATGGTGACGACCAACTCACCTGCTGATTGAAAACAAACTGATGATGATGATGATAATGGTGAGGATGAAGACAGAATGATGATGCTGATCATACTAAAGAGCAGCACCAACAGCCCCTATGATTACAGACTGATGATGATGATGATGATGATGATGATGATGCACAGCGCCCTGTGATGACTACAGGATGATGATGGTGCTGATGACAAGCACCTTTGATGATAACCTAATGATGATGATGATGATGATGATGATGATAGGGGTGAGCAGCGCCCTATGATGACGAGCTTTGCCAACCACGCCCTCTGATGGTGAAATATTGATGCTGGTAATACAACGATGAGTGACGAACAGCGCCCCTGATGAACGGCTCCTTGATAATGATAATGATTCAAGCGCCGAACAGGAGTGAAGATGTACGCCTTGATGATGATGACGAGCAGTACCCTGATGATGATGATGGTAATGACGAGCAGCACCCTGATGATGATGACAAACCATTACCGTGATGATGATGTCGATCCACGCCCTGTTGATAATGATGGTGACGAGCAGCACCCTAATGATGATGACGAAACATTACTGTGATGATTGTGTCGAACTGCGGCCTGTTGATGATGGTGCTGGTGGTGATCAACGCCCCGTTGCTGATGCCGAGCAGCGCCCTGATTATGCTACACATCTACCTCCTCATGATTGCAGTCGCCACTGCACTCGCACTTCAGTTTACCAAGGGCTGACTCCACTGTACTCCACAGGCATCGACATAGCCAACGCCTCTCAGGCCATATGCCACGTGCAAAAACACAGCGGCAATGGAGTGAAACGTGGAACTCCCAGATAAAGAAAAACGGGAGTCAGTCCAACCGCCACATCAGCTTGTGACGTGGCGTGGACAAGCGCCTTCGGTCACCTGCGCGTGCGCAAAGCGCCTGGTTTACAGAAGAGATGGCCACCATCGCTGCCGCGCGTCGTCACCATGGCTAGTTTCTTGAATTTTTAGAAATTGAAGACGAAGTAAAAAAAAACAAATAAAAATTTGTGCAATGTAGATCTTGAAAAGATCTACAACATCATATTTTTAGTTTTATTTTTTAGAATTGTTTGAGCCCTAAAACAAATCCTGAAAGTCGCGGCCGCACCCCAACCACGGCCGGCGGGCGCCGGTCATCCCGACCGCAATCCGAGTTTGACCCCGCTGTCATGACTGCGGGGGAGGACCCACATTGTTGAGTATACTGAAGCCATTACCAAGCTTCAGTTAAGAAAAAAATTCAGAAAATGCAATAAAAAAGCATGAGCCCCTCCTAGCAGTACTTCCACCAAACCCTGCACTCCAAGTGATGCTGTCATCGAAATTGAACTTAGCTGTTCAAGTTCTGTTCTCAATACCAGGCCTATACCCGGTCTCACGCCCCCAACATGCTAGGCAACAGGGCAGCAGAACCCATCCCATCACCTACCATAGTTGACCTAGTAGCAGCCCCCAGTTAGCCACTGGATGGCCTTCCACCCTCGACAAATCAAACATAGCTGTCCTGTTCTCAATACCAGGCCTATACCCGGTCTCACGACCCCCAACATGGTAGGCAACAGGGCAGCAGAACCCACCCCAGCACCGACCATCGTTGACCTAGTAGCAGCCCCCAGTTAGCCACTGGATTGCCTTCCACCNCAGCACCGACCATCGTTGACCTAGTAGCAGCCCCCAGTTAGCCACTGGATTGCCTTCCACCCTCGACAAATCAAACTTAGCTGTTCTGTTCTCAACACCAGGCCTATAACCGGTCTCACGCCCCCAGCATGCTAGGTAGGCTACAGGGCAGCAGAACCCACCCCATCACCGACCATCGTTGACCTAGTAGCAGCCCCCCCCGGTTAGCCACTGGATTGCCTTCCACCCTCTCGACGAATCCCCAGATGTCTCTACCAGGCCTCACACCCCAGGGCAAATGCCCCAGCTCCGGCCAGCGTCGTTCAGGTACACCCATGAATTGTTGAATGCAGACCCAAGTTTGAATCCAAACACAACCAGATGTCAGGCCTCACGCCCCAGGGCAATGCCCCAGCTCCGGCCAGCGTCGTTCAGGTACACCCACCAATTGTTGAACGCAGACCCAAGTTCGAATCCAAACGCAACCAGGTGTGACTCTGAACTTAGTAATTTACTAATTTCCCCAGAGCCGGTCAGTTGGAAGATGGCATGTCATTTCAAGGCCGTCGCCCTTTGAAAAACAAGAAAGGAAAAAAGAGGATTAATCACAGCTTAGAAGAAATACTAGCAACTACAAAATTGAACCTCATTCCTGAATTCATCATTAATTTAAAAGACAGTATTACTTTCTCAAACAGAACAGTAATCTACTGCATGCAGCTTTCTGGAAACAAATTACAAACACACAAACACATAAAGAAACAACGTTCACCGCGTGTAATGTTCTGAAAAAATCAAATCCTCTCTTCTGCCATATCATCAGATGACTTCAGAGTCCACAGACTCCACAGCCATCTACGCATGGCCGCATGCACAGCTTCCGTCTTCACTCGAACAGGACGCCCGGTCATTATCGCCGTATCTGGACTGAAAGTTGGACCAACAAATATGGTTATCGTGACCAGGCGTTCGATTCGGGTGAAGACGGTAGGATCGCCATTGCCATCGCCATTGCCATCGCCATCGCCATCGCCATCGCCATGGCCATCGCGATCGCCATCAGCATCACTTTCCATTTGTGTCTCATGAACAGATGACGAACTCATTGGCCGCAAAATTGTCTGAATTTTCAGATAATAACTTTGGAGACAGAACATAATCTGCATCAAATCTACACATCACAACACAACCTCCATGAAACCTTCCATGAAACGTTATGTAATCCTCAATGAAATTTCTATTTAACTTTCATCAACTCTTCATGGAACCTTCCATGAAACGTCCATCAGACGTCCACCAAACCTCCATCAAATCCCATCCAAATCTTCATCAAATCTCCATCAAACCTTGCAAGAAACGTCCATCAGACGTCCATCAAATCTCCATCAAATCCTCATCAAATCTTCATAAAATCTCCATCAAAACTCCACCACATCTCCACCACATCTCCAACAAATCTCCACCGGATCTCCTCCAAATCTCATTTACATCTCCTTCAAAATCAACATCATAAAACATAAATATTTATCAGGTCAAACCTCTATAACACCCAATTTCACCCAAAAGCAATCCAAATTTCCACCCAAATGCCACCCAAATCACATAGAGTCTGCAGCAGACTTGAGCTTGAAAAGCTCTCGCATTTCTGACGATGTCGGCGACAGCACCTCCCCGGGGTAACACTTGCCGACAAGCTGTTCGAATTCGTCGTACTTGCGCAAGAAGTCATCCTTCAGCTTCTGCGACAGGTAAGGGAGAAGCTCCTGGGGAACGTGCTTGTGCATCTTCCTGAACATCGTTTGCGGTACCTTCTCAATCCCTGGGCTAGGCAGGACAACCTTAATGAGCTTCTTCAAGTCGGCCCTCGTCAAGTTTGGCTGGTATGCAATCTCCTCTGGAGTCCTTTGAAACAGCAGACTCTCCTCAACCTTCTTCATGAATTCAAATAGCCTTCCAAAGTGCAACTCGATAAGGCTACTTGTGTATCGGCTGCAGGACGCCTCATACAAGTTACTCGCCTGCTGATAGAGTTTCCCTAGCACGGGCACCGCTTCTGCCGTCTTATACGTCATGTTCTGGAATGCCGCATAATTTTCCAAAAGGAACAGATCAGAGTGCTTCGGATCGACCTTTGCGATGTTTTCAAGCACCTGAAACATTGTTCCGACGATCTTATTGTAGGACCCATCGACAGCCTCTCGGATGTTGTTTTTTATGAGGCTCTCCATTTTCACGGCGAGGGTCGCAAAGCGCGGGATGAAGGCCACAACGCCTGACATCCTCAAGTTGCGATCATATTTCTCGATCGAGTGACATATCTCATCGACAAACTTGTCGAACTTTTGGCGAATTCTATCCTCAAGTCCTCGGAGCATCCGGTGCAGGAAACTCCCCGGTTCCTTCCCGTGGGTCGAAATCCACCTTTCCGTCAAACCCAATAAGGGGATGCATCGGAGAGGGTCGATCTGGAAAGCCCAATCGACCATAAAGGTGAACTCGCTCTCCGCGCCAGCCAACAATGATTCTAACGCACAGTTCAAGTCTCGAACATCTTTCTCGGTTGGCGTGGGTGGACGGATATCCAAACCACCCGGCAGCGGTTTGGGGGGGATGGGGATGGGATCATAATCCTCGTCCTCATCCTTATCGCTGCTGCCGACAAGGGCAGCTCCCGCTCCTTCCCCGTTTGGCCCATCCAGCTTAACAGGAATCGGTGGCGATGCGTCAAAGCACATGAATGTGGCAAAGAACCGGCTCTCTTCGGAGAAAAGTGGAATAAACACCTGCAGCATTCTCGCGAAAGCGTCCGATGCCGCTGATGTGTCGCCTGCACTCCCAGATCCTGGAATAGCTGCACCGTTCTCCATCCAATGCAGCCATGATGTTGTCGACCGTGGAGCCCTTACGCCACCCTTCAGCTCATTGGCTACATCCCTCATTTCCCTTTGGAGGAGATGATTCATGGCTGTTGCATACGCTTTGCGGACAGGTTGGAGAGAGAAGCTATCTAACTCCTTCAGGTGATGAATCAACGGTGCATATGTTTTGAACTTCATCCTTAGTTCCTTGTGAGCGAATCTCCCTCGCAAATGTCCTTTCTGCAAGATAATGGCACTGTACTGTTTCTCCGGCATGAACTCAACAATCTTAGTGAAGTAATCCTGAAGAAACTCGCGCAAGCGACATACGAAAGTGGAGCGCAAATTCTCCAGCTCCGACCTCTTCTCCCGTACAGCTCGCATTTGCGCATAAACAGGGTCCCTATCAAACCTACTGAGCTGTATGAGAGCCTTAACCAGCCATTGACAGGCCTCAATATTGTTAGGCATCAACGGCTCTTCAAATGGGGACTCGACAAGCAGAGAAGCGTACTCCGGCGGCACGTGAAGCTGATTTAGCAGTTTGTCAAGCTCTTCGAGCAGACCACGACCGTTATGCTCTTGTACCTCAAGGATGTTGTTCCTTCGCTCTATCATCTCGATATCATCTCGGACATGTTTCAGCTTTACATTGAAAATGTGTAGCCACTCATCCATGTCCTCAACACTGCTGGCTGCATCTTCAAGTCCACTGATGACCGCTTCCACGAGGACCTCGCTTTCCAAGATCGCGTGCACATTGGCTGCCTCCAGTGCACTAAGCTCTCGTTTCAGACGCTCAGAAAACGCGTCAGCTTCGTCAATCTCCATCAGATACGTACCCAAGAGAGCTTCCATGTCCTTCTCCTCTTGTGCAGAAACCAGATCATGTTGTCCAACAACCTCCAAGGCATTCTCTGGGAGGGGGAGTGTTCCGCCGCCCTCTCGTCCCTTCTCCTCGGCCTCCTGAGCAGGCAGCCGAAGCGGCCAGCCCTTCGCAAATGATTGGGCCCAAAGCGCTAATTCCACTAAGTCGATCCCAACCAGGGACGGCACACGGCCAAGGTGTTCCTTGCTCAGCTGACGTAATGTCACAAACAAGCGATTGCGGTCATCGAGACTTCGACAACTCCACTGAGGAGGGCTGGTTTTTAAAGTGTCGAAAATGAGACCGAAACTCAAACCAGACTTGTCGGCTTCCACTGCCTCTAATCTCACCAAGTGCTTTAGTTTGTACACCTTGGATGTCTGTAGACCTCCATCGCCTGTCCCCTGTTTTAGCGAATGGATTTTCACTTTGAGCTTTTCCGTCGTCAAAGACTTTTTTCCGGTGACTACCAACACGCGTGGCTTGCTGGTCATCCGTCCCCTTTTCACAACGCTTCCCCATGTTGTCTGGAGCTTGGAAACTTTGATACCTAATAGCACCTTGTTTTCCGTCTCGGAAAAAAAGCCCTCTACTACCTGCTTTAGAGTCTTCTCATCATCGCCCTGCATCTTGGGCCCTCTGCTATCACGCCAGTTTCCAAGATTCTCTGATACCTCCCTCTCTCTCTCTCTCTCTCTCTCTCTCTCTCTCTCTCTCTCTCTCTCTCTCTCTCTCTCTCTCTCTCTCTCTCTCTCTCTCTCTCTCNCTCTCTCTCTCTCTCTCTCTCTCTCTCTCTCTCTCTCTCTCTCTCTCTCTCTCTCTCTCTCTCTACCTATCTATCTATCTATCTATCTATCTATCGACCTATCTATCTCCCTCCCAAACACTCTTTGTCTTTCTTCCGCCACCCTCTCTGCCTGTTCTCCTCTCTGTTCACCAATCTGTCAGTCTGTCTGTCAACCCGCTCATCTGTCTGTGTCTCGAACTGTGCCTCTGCCGGCTTGCTTCTCTCTCTCTCTCTCTCTCTCTCTCTCTCTCTCTCTCTCTCTCTCTCTCTCTCTCTCTCTCTCTCTCTCTCTCTCTACACCAACATTCTTCCAGGACAGGGTTCAACACCTTCGTCCGGTCTCGTTCACCACACACATCTCCATCCACACTGTTCCTGCATCATTCCCATCTCTGACACTCCTTGTGGTGGCATGTGTGGGTGTTTCTCCCCTGTCCTGCTGCTACTGAGCTCTCAGTTCTTCAACCTGTCCTGTGGTCATCCAGGGTTACCTTTTTGTGAGTCCAACTGCCGAAAGCAAATCACTTTCATCACTCTCTTCCTGAAAACCCCATGTCGAGGGGTCTTGCTGAAAGCCCTTTTTTTTCACCAGGGCTGCCGGCATTCAAAGGCCCTGTTCAATGTGCACAACACGAAAAAAAAAACAAAAAGGCACAGCTCAGTCCTTCAGAACATCAGTTAAAATTGAACGATACAGATGCAATAACCCATGCCATATGTCTCGTGGGAAATCTGAGGGCCGACCTGGCCACCCTCAGCCAGGCCAAAAACGAGGTAAGGGACCCCACACAGGGATTCAGGGCCTGGGCGTGCCGCAGTTGACTTTTGTCAACTGTCGCGAACCCAACAGTCAAAGTCCAAAGGTACCCAGTCCAGGCTGCCGGTCAAGCACACACACTTGTTTGTATGCAGGTACCCAGACAGCATCAAGTCCAAGGGGGAATGCTGCAACAGTACAATCCAGGCCTTCGGCTGTGACTCAATCTGGACGACTGAGGGGAGAAGACCCGAGGCCAGAGAGCCTCGTCAAACACTACTTAAAGTCTGGCCTCGAGGTGGTCAACATTCAGTCTTGCTATGCTGGTTCAACCCTGGCTTGACTTTGACTTGACGCTGGCATTATGCTAGCGTGACGCTGGCTGTGCATCAGAGCTGCGGACGACGACACGTGGGAGAAGCAGCATGCTGGCATTGTACGCCAGGCATGCTGATGTGGCACTGCCTGTGGTCTTCATGGCATGCTGATGTGGCGCTGCCTGTGGTTTACTTGGCATGCTGACATGGCGCTGCCTCTGGTATATGTGGCGGTGCCTATGGTCTACGTGGCATGCTGATGTGGCGCTGCCTCTGGTATATGTGGCGCTGCCTCTGGTATATGTGGCGCTGCTCTTGGTCTACGTGGTGCTACTATTGGTCTTCATTGCTGATGTGGCGTTGCCACCTGTCTTGATTGTTGACGTGGCATTGTCCACGCTGTCTACATGAGGTGACTGATTGCGAGGGAAGAGGAAGATCGGGACTGTGGAGAGATCGTGAATACGTACCTGGTTGTCTTCATGTTGACATTGCTCCATTGCTGACGAGGGGCTAATTAGATGTGCCACGTGGCACATTGAGATACTCGTTCAGACTGTCTATTATTGAGGTGTTGGAGGAGGGAGCCCGAAGCAGGAGTGGGCATTGTATTTCCTCTCCTTTGTCTAATCTCCCTCCTCTCTTCTTCATCTGTGTATGATTATCTCGTCTCATTCTGTCTGGACACGATCTTGATTATTGGTACTCATCGGCTGTTGACAATCATCTGGACTTGCATTGTTGATAACTGTCTTCACGATCTGGGTTCATTGCACAGAGAGAAGATTAGCATGGCCCCTGCGCAAGGATGACATGCATAATAACAGGCATTTCGTTAAAATTGACATTTTTAAAGATTTTTTAAATTTTTTATCATTTTTTACTATTGATCTTCCAAAAAAGAACAGTATTTTTAGCACTTTGTTGTGCTGAGGACATCAGACCATTGATGGTTGGGCGTCCCCAGGACGCTGGACCATCTGATCTACCCCGTTTTTTTTCAATTTTTCTTGGACCCTCCGATGTGTTTTGACGATACTTTACGTCAAGATACATCAGATGGTCCGGCGTCCTGGGCGACCATCAATGGTCCGATGTCCTAAGCACAAAAACGTGCTAAAAAATACAGTTTTTTCTTAGATGCCCAATTTCGTGAAAATACTATAAAAAAAAATTAAAAATGTCAATGTTAACGAAATGCCAGTTTAATTGAGAAATCGTGCTTAATCGTCCAAATTTAAATTCGAAAAAAAAAAGGAGGCGGCACAGTTCAAAAAGTCCAGAAGTTAAGAAAACAGATATTTGCAGTCCACGCAACACTATCTCTAGCATTTTTTGACCCTGTGTTAGATTTTTTTATTTTATTTTTTCAGTCCTGGGTGCTCCAGTCTATTGGTGGTTTACCTCATTCATGATGCAAAACTGCACCTTGAGACAGTGCAAGAATGGCTGAACTCAAGAAGAAGTGAAAAAAGACAAAGAGTGGAATAGAAGGAAGACGTTTGAAGTAGCAGAAGAAAATGACGAAGAAATACACATTCGGGACATCCATCAAAATTAGAACGGCACAGAGAAGAATCAGAAGATTAACATGACCCCTGCGCAAGCATGACACACATAAATCGAGAAACAATCGAAGTTGAAGAAGGGAAAACAAAAACAAAAACAAATTTTGAAAAAGAAAAAGAAGAAATATGCAAGTTTGAACCCATGCCACAAACCTCTTCCCGTCCAACTCCATCTTCTTCAACCACCTCCTCTTCCTTTTTCTCTCTTTTCCCATTTCCTTGTGCAGGGGCCATGCTAATGTTCTCTGTATTGTTCCAGTTTGAATGGATGTCCCTCCTCCTTATCCAGTGATCAATTGAATACTATAAATAAAATAACAAATGGATGGGAGGACAAGAAATCGTGTTTGAATAATCCCCGTTACAGTCAGCACTCAAAGACCTTGCCTTTCAGCCCCACTCTTCTCTCTCTCCTCTCTTTGTAGTAAGTTACCTATGGTGGAACATCGCTGCAACCAGCGGATGTTCAAAGAACAACGCAACTACTGATGTGCTTCTTTTGACAGAGGCTGCCATAGCCACATGCCTAGATAACGTCCAAGCCGAGAAGGTACCCCCACATCTTTCTCGTGCGGGTTCCCTCGTCTTTCTCTCCCCACGCCAAAGGTAAGTCTCCCGTGCGGGTTCCCTCGTCTTTCTCTCCCTCAACCCCTTCTCTCTTCCCCCTCCCTTCTTCATCACCTAGCTTGAGACGCTTCTCCCTCTTACCTCCACAGCCTACACCTTTCTACTACTACTCGATGACTGCTGGGCAAATGTGTCGGCCTGCTCATTGCACCGGCTAATATACTCTTTTGCCGCTGAGCCTCTAGCCCTTTCCTGGGCAGGATACTATTTTTAGCTTGCATGAAACCCGTATGCCGTCATGGACGGCGATTGTTGTGACTCGCTTGACAAAGTGTCAGTGTGATTTTGCAATGTAAGAGAGACTACTGCCTCTAACCACAGCGGTGGTGCGAGAGCAAGGCTGTACCAGTCCCTGGTTACGGTGATGCAGGGTGGGCAAGCGTTGCCGATGGGGGAAAACCGGCAGTGCTAGTGCCGAGCACTATGNACGGTGATGCAGGGTGGGCAAGCGTTGCCGATGGGGGAAAACCGGCAGTGCTAGTGCCGAGCACTATGGCCAATCGCTTCACCTCCCCCTTTCCCCCCCTGCCGCCTCACATCAGCGGTGTTTAATAGCCATATATTTGTCGCATAGCAACCAACAATATTGGCCAAGGTCCTGCCAATGCTGGCTCAGGAGGCCAATAGCCTATCCCTGCATGGTAGGACACCAAACATGCCCAGGCACGTACATGAGGCCAATGGGAATTGAACCCGTGACCTCCTGAATGCAACTTGTGCGCCTTACCAACTGAACTGGCCCGCAGGCTAATCTTAATCTTATCTATTTATCTATCTATCTATCTATATATCTATCAACCGGTAGAGTTTAGATGGTCAGTTGTATCAATCTGAGCTTAGCTCAGCTTAGTGAAGTTATCCTTAACCGTTCGCCATTTGCAAAGAATCGGTGCTTCCATCATGCTCTTTGTTGCACCCCAGATTTTATCAAGTTCGTTCTTGGTATTATCCGGAGTCCTGCTGCATCTTTCCTTCCAGATCGCCCATAGCGTTGCTTTGCAGATCAGTCCAAACCACTAAGTTTCCGGCTTGCTCAACTGGGATGGCATGTTAGTCCATAGGAGAAGCTGGATGGGGTGCTCAGGGAAGGGGGTAGAGAAAAGGCGGTCCCACAAGTCAGAGGCTCTTGCCCATAGTTCTGTTGCTTCTTTACACCTAGTTAGACAGTGTAGTAAGTCTTCTTGTTCTTGGTATGAGCATAGACATCTGGCCCAGCTGGTAGGGTCCCTATTCCTCGTCCTGATATTGCAAAAAGAAATGAATGCCGTCCAATTGCAAAAAGAAATGAATGAGCTTGAGAAGAGAGAGAGGGGAAGAAGAAGAAGACGAAGAAGAAGAAGAAGAAAGAAAGAAAGAAGAAGATGTACGCCAGCAAAGACCAATGATAATTCCCTTCTTCTCGCCATCCACCTCCTCCTTTTCTCCTCCCCTCTTTATTCAAAGTTCAAACAATACATAATAATAATAATGTTGAATGGCCGAACCAGAATCAATGTCCGAATCCCTCTTCTACTGAGGCACAATATGAGGTCACCATAGCCATGGCCACACTTCTCCGTCCT